TGGGGTCGACGGCTCCTGGACATCTCGGATCCAATCGAGGTCTCCAAATGGGTGAGGTAGACACAACAAGATAGCGTCTGCATGTGGTTCTGATAATAGCAACTTAATAGTTTAGATGCTAACCAAATTATTTTATCCAGAACGCACCTCTCTGAAGATACGGAGATTCTGATTCATCATCTCATATTCACATATAGTTTTCAGACACCCATCTTTTAGTTCCATCCACTCACAGGATAATAGTTTAAACCATTTGTCAAGTCTTATTTGTTTGTAAAATAAATTCTTATTTGTTTGCAAACACTGACTGGTTCTTGAATCATAAACAAAGTGTGAACGATCCCTTAATAATTAAAAGAATCATAGAACCTTCTAATTAATCATCCTAAGACCAAGCAAGGTGATATTCTATAACTAATAGAGTATTACAGCTATCGGTCACAAGTAATGAGAATAGAAATAAATAGTTTTTAAATCAATTTATTTAGCCCACATTACTCTACTATTTTCCATTACAATAGTAACTTGAAAAGATGTCGCACAAGTGCTGCGTCTAAATATAATTTGAGTTTTTTCTCATCGTACAGCCCTGGTTTACGATTTTACAATTTTAATTAATCTGGGCCTAGGGGTGAATTAATCTTGCAAAATTAACAGCTTTTTGAAATTTACCCAGACACTGAGCTCTACCCTCCCTCGGTGATGGCTCAGACATGCTTGTGTTTAAGATGCTCCATCATCACCGTCCTACTCCCGTCATGCCATGTCTGTTTACATACGTTGCAGGTGACTATGTCTTTGCTTTGTTTAACATAAAGTGCTCCAAAACTTTTGAAGTTTTTATTTTCTTGGGTCTTCTGCCATTTTCTAGTGTGTCGTTCCACATCAAAACACCTAGCCTAGTGAGCTAGACCAAATTCTTGCCTTGCAAAGTTTAAAAATTATTTTTATTTAGTCTGGCTTGCCAGGCTACAAAGCACCAGCTTTCTCTCTTGTTCTGATCTGCCTAGGTCTGCTCTGCTGCCGCTTACAGACGAGCTGCGCACATTGACTGTTAAATAACGGTTGCACAACAAGAAAGAGGCTGCACAACACAACAAATTGATGACAACATGTGTTGATTGATTTTTATCAGTTTCATCGATTCGTTGTTGCAGGCCTAGTTCAGACTTCCTCAGTTGGCTACTGAGAAGCACCGAACCACAGAGGAAGTAGGCTGAGGCATCTGAGAAACGCAGTTAATTCTGGCTGAGTCCCTCCTTACACGCCAGCCTAATAACTTTCACTGGAAACCTGCCAGGGGCTCTGTTTCCCCTCTTGAACCTTTAATTTTCATTGATGATATAAATAGGTCCTTTGGGTATGCCAGGGAAACAACACTTTATAATAATTTGACACAGACGCAGAAATATAGTTTATAAAAATAAATGTGTTACTATATTTCTACTACTAACGATGATGAATGGTGATTTAAAGTATTATCAGCTGAAACAATGCATACACTCTGATGAAACATGATCTAGAGGTTATTAACAGCCTAATTAAGTGACTCAGAAAAGATGTGATGTCTGGATTTATGAAATAATCTGGTTCAATCTTATTTAGATTTAATCCTATCCAATGCCAGTGCAAAGTCACGGTACCCGTGTGTATGGAGGCTTCTCAGCGATCCGACTGGCCACAAATTCTTCTCTGCAAGGCCGTGGTTTTACTTCTGGATATCACAGACGTATTCCTCTGAACATGCATCAGCCGGTCAGAGACAGCCTCCTGCTGCAGGCGGACCATTTCTCATCTGATGAGTTGTTTTGCAGAATAAAACAAATAGTAATTGGTTGATTCTGAAAATGGATGGTTCTTATGCCGCCAAAATAATTCCACTGAAAAATCTGGTTTGATTTCCCAAAGGATGGTAATTTAACGTACGCTGAAAGCGTTTGCAAGAACTACGAATATTTTCTTTAATGATTTATGGCAAAATGAAAAACTGAACCCAGTTCATATTTATATAGATGTTAAAGTGTAGTTATACTGCATTTCTACAATTTAATGCCGAGTCTGGCCAATACCTTTAAGGGTCCGTTGTTTATACATTTTGGACCAACCAGAATTAAGAAAGTTGGGTGGTACCAAAGGGTCCTCAGATGTCCCCTTTCTCAGACACTTAGAAAAGCTTATTCCACTTAATATGTGAAGTAAATATGTTAAACAGTAATTTGTTAATACTGATATTAGTATGTGAGATAACTGAAAATAAGTCATTATTAAATCATCAAGTAGGCTCGTTTGGTGTATTTAAGACCTGAAATAAGGCATTTTAAGAATAAACATTTATGTTGATTCATTCGTTACTGTAAAGTAGTCAAGACATTGTTAAATTACTTTGGATACAACTTTCATTGTAAATAATGTAACTGTAATTATTATTAAAGTGAAGAAATAATTTTATGACACAGAGTAAGATTCTTTATTAAAGTATTCACACATGGAAACTATCAATGTGAATAAATCGTATGGCAATAGTTCTTCTGCTCATTATTATCATTGTGGAAAAGTATGGACTCCAACCTTTTTGAGACCGTAAGCTACTTTCTCACTTACCTCTGGCTCTACAGCAAGAGGGATATTGGAATTCCTCCCGTTGCACAGTAGCCTTTCTTATGTTTGTGAAACCAACTGGTTCCATTGTCCCGGTGGCCGATTGCCCATCTGGAACAAGAACTTTCGAAGGTGAGAGATGCTAATTACTTCTCTCCCCTTTACATTGCTTCTGGATTCTGAACAATTCCTGTCGGTTGTCGACCGAAATAAACTAGCCTTCACCTTCGCCAAACCACCAATACACCTTCCTACGGTGTCCATTTGGGTACTCTAACTCACCCTCTGAGTTTAAGATCTTCTTGGACAAAGCTTGCCCCGAGGCTCGTGAATGTGGTACCATAATCTGTAAACAGACTTTGGACGAACATCTGTCTGAGTTAGACCATGTCATGGGTCAGCTCACCACTGCAAGTGCAAAAATCTCCCTCACCAAAGGCCAGTGGTGCAGGTGTAAAGTACAGTTTGTTGGCCTCCTTGTGGGACCACAGGCAGTGCAGCCTCAACATGGTAGAGTCCAAGGTGTTGCCACCATAAAAGCACCAACAAATGTCTCTAAACTTTGGAGTTTTCAGGGTGTGTGCAACTATTCCCGCCAATTTGTAGAGAACCATGCAGAGTTGGTGACACCTCTGACTGCCTTGCTAAGAAATGAGGCACCTTTCGAGTGGACTGAGCAGCAACACCTGACTATGAAATATTTCCGCCTGAGCAATGTCATTTGGTTATTTTAGATGACCTGATGGTCCAGACTGCCGACCATCCAGAGGTGGTAAAATTATTCACTCAGTACAGACATGTTTGATTTTTGGCCCTCTTTTATGTTGAATTTATTTCACAGTTTTCATTGGTTCACTCAATCCATTGTTTTACACATTTGTCCTGTACCAGAATGTTTCACCAATTTTGTAATTTGTATTTTGTAATTTGAATTGCTTTTGTTTTCTGATTTATTCAATATATTTACCTTCAACTGAACCATGTTCAGCGCTTTGGGCTTCCTGACAGGGTTGCGGAAGGCGCTTTATAAATAAAGCTTTGATTGATTGATTGACATCATCGTAATATGTGTTTTTTTACTCACACAAAATGTCTTTCATCATAATAGATCAATCAGTCTAAATACTAATTATTTTGTTTTGTTTAAAAATCCACGAGATAAATTGCAAATAAATGTTTTAGCAAATCAAATCTACCCTACTCAAAAAAGATATTTTCTGGAGAGTTTCCAAGACACAACATAGGACCCTCACAGTTATTTAATAGTGGATTTGAAACCGGAAACACCAGAACGTCTATGGTTGTGCAGCGGAGCACTTCCGGGTCAGATGACAGTGGTCACTTTGCCTAAAATAGAGCAATGTCAGCCAGGATTCTCAAGGCTTTGTCTCGCATGAAACCACGGAAACGTCAAGAGTTTTTAAAAGGCTGTTCGCATGACGCTCTAAACTAGGGATGAGCGAGTACACCACTATCTGTATCTGTTCAACCAACTAAATTATCTGTATATATATATATCTGTACTCGGGATGGGCGTGGCATAACCCGGAAGTGGGTGTGGTTTACATCAATATATTATTTTAAGTCTGAAATTGATATAGATTGATCAGAAGTTGCTATGTGTATTGTTTATTTGAAAACTATTTACAGAGCAGCCTCAGAACTGAGATTAAATATTTTTGATCGCAATAGTAAAGAAACTATTACAGAACAAGTGTTTCAATAAAATCAGAACATTAATATTTAAGTGCATGGATTAATACATCTGAACTCATGCAGTAGGAACTAGGAAATATGAAATGCTAGAACCAGACACAACTTTATATATATATTTTTTATTTTAATTTGATTAAACTGATTTTTTTTCTTAAGCGTGAAGACAGTTACCCAATGAGGATTTTCCTTCAGCACGATTACAGATATTTACTAGTTTTACTCGTTTCATGCTCGTATTCGTCAAAAATGCTTTATCCATACCGGATACTCGTCTGAAACGAGTATCCGGCTCATCCCTAATATATACCTTATTTAATATTATCTCTTTTCAGATGGAAGTTGAGTAAATGTTTTTCTTTATACCACTGCACTTTGTTACTCTTGTGTTTTGTCATGTTCTGTCCCATCATGTCTGTCTTGTTTTCAGATGGGAACGTGAGAAACATAACTTCCAGTCCTTTGTATGTAAAGTGCATGTGAAGAAGTCGACAATAAAAGCTATATTTATCTCTTATTTATTCATAAATCCAGCTTTAAAACATTTCTCAAACCTGGTTGTTGTCAATGTTCCCACTTAGACTACACAATTGTCCAAAATTGCTTTATCCCAGAAAATGTGTCACCATCAGACCACAACCCCTTCAGCACAGGGTGGGTGGGTGGGTGGGTGGGTGGGGGGGGGGGGGGGGGGGGGGGTTGTCCTACCTGGACATTTTCAAAGGGGACAGTTATTAACAGATTGGAAATTTTTCTAAACAAAACAGAAACATAATAAAAATTTTACTAAGCCAACAAATTCACTTACATTGAAATCTGTAGGAATGAATGAAAATGGGTTCAAAGTGCTCATTCATCTCAGCAGCTGAGCTAGAACAAGTCAATCCGGATTTTATCTTTTAAAATCAGTAAACTTATGAGCAGCAGCTTTTATTTTGAAAGCTATAGAGAAATAGCCCAGTTGTCACTGATTCGGGGTCATCCCACCACCTTCAAAAATCCCCGTGAGGAACTTAAAAAAATAAAAATGACTTTAGAGAATTCACCTGAAAACCGGAGAATCCGATGAGTTTTGTTACGGAGGTACTGTGTGTTTGGATAAAGTGCTCAGAATATAAACCTGCAGATGAAGGTTTCTGTATCAATATGCTGGTGAAGGTTCTCAGTCGTCCAGGTCATGCTAATCCAAAAGGGTACAAATGAAGGCAACTGGACTTCTTTGGTTTTCGGCTTCAAGGTTTTTCATTGTTGTCGTTGTTAGCCTCAAGGGCAACATGCCGATTATCACTTGTAAGTCGCTTTGGACAAAAGCGTCTGCTAAATACATAAACATATAAGAAACCAAAGTTCAGTTGCCTTCTTCTTTTAGAGCCTTTATTATCACCAGTTTGAAGTCTACACCCCGAGACTAAATCCTTTAACACCAGTAAGAACCCAGCCAGCAACTGGTCTGACGGATGAACACACTGAGTGCTGAGTGTGAGAACGCTCTGCAGCTTGTCATCTGACACTTCAACCTTTCACAGTGCAGGTCAGAGTCATTTTAACCAAAGTGAAAACACAATGAATCACCAATAACTTCAGTGGAACTGTCCCATCATCACACAGCTCTGATGGGCCAATGGGACTCCATCTGAAACGTCAACTCTGCTCTCAGAAGCTCACGTTTCACCCGAAGTCCCTCTGGAGTTCACCGGGAAACTCCTCCTACACCGACTCAAATACTGGCTCATTTATGAAAGAACATAAAAATTACCATTGTTTGAAAAAAAAAATACATTTTCTCCTGGAATGGAAAGTGCTCACAACAGGAATGTTTCACAATCAGTCTCCAGATGAAAACCCAATTCTTCTGCATCTCTGGAAGGTACACGTTTCCAAACGTCCTGTTTTCCGACAGGAAAGGCAGCAACTGTTCTGCAGGACTCAGGACTTAAGGCAGAAGCTGCAGAGCATTTCCGCAGCATCTCGGTTGTGATGTCACAGACAATAACTGAAAACCCAGAGGTCAATTGGTCCTCTGAGTTCAGGCTGAGAAAGCTGCTCCTGCAGGATTAGCAGATGAAGACCAGGCCACTAGACTCACTTAGGGTTTGACTTCCTGTTGTCGTCTTCATACAGCAGAGCCTGGCAACAAGAAGATGTGAGTAATCTAACATCAGACAATGCACACAGGAAATGATCTCAAAGGGTTTAATGATAAAATCAGGATGCTTTTAAAGAGAATAAAAAGTTGCGTTTTAGCAGCTTGTGACCAGAACTCTTCAAATCTGCCTCATTAATAAACCAAAACACTAGAGGATTAGACTTGTATTCAGCTGAAGGTGATACTTTCACTTTCGCTTCTGTCAACCAGAACCCACACTCTTCACTGTGAAAACTACAGATCTGTCCGAAACGCTGCAGTGCTACAAAAAAAAAGGGGCTCTAACCAACCTTGCTCTCCAGAACCCGGCTATGGGTCGGGCTGCTCAGGTCCTCCAGAGTCTCAGCTGCTGGCCTGTTGAGGGTCTCAGGCAGCAGGAGGCCCACGCATCCAGCAGACAGGCCACTCAGGCAGAAGATCGTGAAGGGCATGGAGGTGTGCAGCGCTCGCTGAAACATTCAACACATTTACCTGAGCTTAGTTCTCAGAGTCACCACCAGGGGGAGCCTAGCTACAGCAGTTCAAACTACAGAGAAAAGATTTCTCACACCTGATCAAGTGTGGTTTTAAAAGGCTTTACTAACCAGTTTACAGGTAAACACCAGAAGAGAAAACTCCGACCAGGAGCTGATTAAACATGTCTGCAGATGTGACATAAGAAACTTCTGGAAATTTTTATTACCGAATCGTTCCTCAAGTTTCCTTTTGAACCGAGAGTTGCTGTGAACTTGCTGGTTGTCTCCATGACAACAACGTTCCTTCCCCCTCCGAATGGTTCATTCAGCATGAACATCCCCATCATTAACATAACTGCTCTTTACACTCGCTGAAACACATGTTGGGTCTTTTCTAGGAGAGCGGCACTGAGCCGTTAATCTACACCAGACTGGTCAGGGCTGCAGAGGTTCCAATGGAGCGTGGATAGATCGACATGCAAAGCGAGATGATTTTGCTTCTGCTAATGTCTGTCTGGATTTGTAGGCTGTGAGGTTCTGGTTTCCTCCACGTTCATGTGTGGGTCTGCTGACTTGTCCTTCTAAAATTGACAGGAAATGGTTTCTAACTTCTAGCTTTTAACTGTTTCTGGGGTTTACTAACTCATTAACTGCCATTGACGACTAAAGTCGTCATTTGCATTTTTTTTTACTGTGTGGGCGTCGGAGAAAGCCCCCGCACCGTGAGAACAAAAATCCCAGCTCTAAAGCTGAACTTCATCCGCGAATGTCACACGTCACGTGATCAGGAAGCAGAAAATCCATGTGTTAGGAGATCTTTTTGGGCCGCTGCTGTAAGAAAAGTGAGGCGCGAACCGAAAAAGCTTCTGCTGATCACAATTCCACAACAGATTACGAAAGAACGGATAACGCTCGAAACGCACGGATTCTTCCTGATGTAAGAGGTGAGTCTCTTCTTTGTTTTGGTAGTTTTGGTGTTGACATCATCATAGAGCGCAATGTCCTGTGACTCTTAAAAAAAACAGTAAAAAATGCTGAAAATCACTGGCAGCGAAGGGCTTTTCTGATCAGGAAACAGCTAGCAGTGAATGAGTTAAATTCAGAGAGAGAATCTGAAACCAAACTCACCATGGAAGGAACGAAAGGAGCGAGAATTCCTCCAACTCTGCAGGACATGGAGCAAACTCCTAACCCGGCATTTCTGCAACACAAGAAGCTTTTTAAAACTCAACCAGAACTGGGTCCTGTGTGTAAATAATGCTTCTGCACATGCAGGTCACCTGATCACAGTAGGGTAGAGCTCAGACGAGTAAACGTAGGCGATGTTGAACGCGGCGCTGACCATCAGTTTTCCCAGCAGAGCTAAAGACAGTAAAGTTCCTAATGGGGAAAAAAATAACAGCAAGTTTACCAATTTCATATTTGGAAAAAATCCAGTTCCAGGCTAAACAATTTACAAAAATATTTTTGGTTAAATAATCGGCTAAAACTCCTCAGTGGTCTATCTCATGTAAACAATCATTTTGGGCCACTTTTAATTTGTTCATAACCTCATAAAGACACATAAAAGGTGATAAAGTTTAGTTCACATGGAAGAAAAATCATCACCAAGCATGGGAGAGGTGCAGCTTTAAACCCAGAACCAGTGAGCAGGAGTAACTATGTGCTGGTTTTACAGTGTTCTGTGTCTGGCCTCAGGTCAGCTCCATCACACCACTGCTCTGTACATTCCAGTCTCTGACTGACTGGAAACTTGTTCTGTTGGGTCATATCAAGATGCTTCTGTTTCTCATCAGCTCAGAGTAACAACCAGCCAGTGTCAACCAGTGCCAGCCTGAACCCACAGGTACCAGTAGGTACTGTATCAGTTAGTACCAGTACATATCAGCCAGTACCAGTAGGTACCAGTACATATTAACTAGGGATGAGCGAGTACACCACTATCTGTATCTGTTCAACCAACTAAATTATCTGTATCTGTTCTCGGAATGGGCGTGGTATAACCCGGAAGTGGGCGTGGTATAACCCGGAAGTGGGCGTGGTTTACATCACTATATTATTTTAAGTCTGAAATTGATATGGAATGATCAGAAGTTGCTATGTGTATTGTATATTTGAAAAATATTTACAGAGCAGCCTCAGAATTTAGATTAAATATTTTTGATCACAATAGTAAAGGAACTATTACAGAACAAGTGTTTTAGTAAAATCAGAACATTAATATTCAAGTGCATGGATTAATACATCTGAACTCATGCAGTCGGAACTAGGAAATATGAAATACTAGAACCAGACACAACTTTCATAATTTTTTAATTTGATTAAACTGATTTTTTTCTTAACGTTCTTGGCATTTTCCCACACAAAGTTAAACAAAACAATGTTGATTAAGGTGTGTGTGTGAGAGAGAGAGATAGAGAGGGAGATAGGGAGAGAGAGGGAGTTCCAAAAAATAAAAAACCTGACCGGGTTTAATCACAATAGTCTATTTTTGCTGATTTACATATTTTTAATCATTTTCTAAATTATTTTTATATTTAAAATTTTTTTGTTTTTTGAAGGTCCCTCATGATTTTTATCTTGAGAGGCGCAATAGAAAAGATATTTTCTTCTTCTTCTTCTAGTATGTCTCAGCTAGTACCAGTGTGTATCAGCTAGTACCAGTGTGTATCAGCTAGTACCAGTGGGTACCAGTAAGTTATCAACCAGTAAGTACCAGTACATGTCAGCCAGTACCAGTAAGTACCATCTAGGAACCCACCTGCGTTCTCAGGGACAAACGTGGTGCAGAGGCAGGCGAAGCCGGCGAGACACAGGAAACTGGACATGCTTTTCCTCCTCCCAGCCCTGATCTCATGCGCGGGCGCACACACACACACACGCACACACACACACACACACGCACACACACACACACGCACGCACGCACGCACGCACGCACGCACACACACACACACACACACACACACACACACACACACACACACACACAAAATGTTTCTAAAGAGTTTTCCTTCAGAAAACATTGACATTAAAGGTACAGTCTGAGATGTTTTTCTGGAGCATTTTTGCCATATTTTTTTAAACACTCTTCACACACTGATGGGAATCAATAAATCAAATGTATTTTCAAAACTTATTCACTTTAGTCGCCTCTAGAATGCACAATCCTGGAGAAGCCTCATCCAATCACAGAGAACGTCCTGGTCTTAATGTGGACAAATTACACGGTTTTGTAGGTAAGTTACATAAGGAATTATGGGGGCTAATGGTGCCAACAACAGGTCGAATATGCAAAACTGCATTAACAAAGCTACAACCAAGAGCAGCATGCACCTGTTCTGCATTTGAACAGCAGCGTTAACTGAAAGAACACAAAGGGCTGAGGACCGATGACATGGTGGCTTTATTTCTGCTCGATAAATAAGATAATGTGGTGTTTTATGGTTGTCTGATGATGAGGACGATGAGGATCCAATGCATCAGGCATTGTCTTGTCTACTGGGGGTGTGACATAGGGGCGGAGCCAGAAGAAAAGGGGTTGGATCTTAATATAGTTTTTTCCCCCCTAAATGTAGCTTCTAGAACAGGAACTTCTACAGACCTTTAACATGATATAAATAAACAAGTTTAACTGTCAACCCCAAACCTTCTGGCTGGTTTCAAATGTGAAACGCTCTGAAATCCGTCTTCATGTCAGAGACAGCTGCTGTGTCGTAATGTGGTTGTGTTTTATGCCCAAACTTCAGTTTCTTTGAGAAGTTTGAACCTGTTTGTGTTTGTCGGAAGGCAGAGACAGGATTTAGTTTCCAGGCCTTCTACTGAATCAGGACGTAAAGAAAAACCTCGAAAGATTCTGCAGCTTTTTACAGACGAGTTCAGACCGGAAGCTCCAGGGTGTGAGATGGTGTGTGTGTGTGTGTGTGTTTCTCACCAGTTTTTATTAATAAAGTAAATGCAGAGAGGGTAGGCAGGCAGCTCCACCAGCCCATACATGGAAACGTTAATAAAACGGTTTCCGGACGTCTCGCTGGCCCCCAGAGTCAGACCATAATACACCAGGCTGCACGCATACCTGCAGGAGGTTCAGGTAGATCATCAGTCTGACGATCTAACGAGGAGCCATCAGAACAGCCGTCGGTTTAGTGAGGTGGATCTGAATCCCACGACACACCGAGGACACAGCAGCTAAAGGCTAAAATACAAACTAAAGCTAAAGAAACCCATGGGAATAAGAAATAACAAGAATTGAAATGTGATGATTTACTCTTTGGTGTTAAAACTTGACCTGCAGCTATGGGTTAACAGCAGAGTCATCTGCCTTTGGAATGGAACGACTTTTCCAACAGTCAAGCTTTTCTTTCCTTTTCTTTGAAACTGTGGTCTAAAGGGCCTCAACGCTCGCTGGAGCCTTCAGTAGTATCATGTTCTTCTTGTTGAGACTGGATCATCTGAGATTTGCACAAAGTGGCAGGGTCCTATCTGGTGTCGTGACTCAGCCTTCATGAACCTTCCATTCTTTATGCGTTTAATACCGTTTCCATGAGTCATTCCAACTAATCACATGACTTAATGTTGGCCACAATGTTAATTTTGACACAAAATGTTTAGTTAGTTAAGTGTTTTAACTAAAATTGTTGGTCATTTTAGTCACAATTTAGTCGTCCAACTAGTTTTAGTCTTATTTTAGTCGACTAAAATAAATGTGTTTATCTTCTGATGCAACCATTTCCACCTTGTGTAAAGGAAATGTTAACTACAGCTAAGAAACTGTAAAGAAACATGAGCAATTCTCAGTTCACACTTTGGGTCAATAAAACTATATTTATAATCGTTTATATAACAAAAATTATTGGAAAATACCAACAGGAACACTGACAATATTAATGCAATAACAAAGCTGCGTAATGTGCAGTTATATTTGTGAACATGACAGGATTCCAGAGAACACCGGATCAGATGGCATTTCCTTGTGCAAGAACATACGAGTGCTCAGTCTACTTAATGGTGGATGGTAGACTTGCAGGAAAAAATTCTGGGATGCATCCTCAGTAGTGTTCCTCTGGATCACGGGGTGTTTCGGCCTTTAACACTACACACCCTCCTCAGAGGCGGCCAGCTGATCAGACCTCAGCTTGCGTCCCAAGTCCAATTAGCCATTAACTCATTCTCTGCCAGCCGCTTCCTGATCGCTAACGGCATTCGCTGCCAGCGTTTCTCACTGTTTTTACTGTTGTTTTAAGAGTGACAGAACGATGCACGCTAGGATGATGTCGACGCATAAACAACCAAAACAAAGCGGAGACTCACCTCTTACATCGGGAAGAATCTGCGTGTTTCAAGCGTTATACATTCTTTCATAATCCGTTGTTGAATTGTGATCGGCAGAAGCTTTTCCGGTTTGCGCCTCACTTTTTTAACAGGAACAGCCCAAAACGATCTCCTAACACATGGATGTTCTGCTTCCTGATTGCGTGACATGCAACGTATGCGGATGAAGTTCGGCTTCAGAGCTGAGATGTTTTTTCTCTCGGCGCGGGGGCTCGTTCCGATGCCCAAACAGTAAAAAAATGCAAATGACGACTTTAGTCGTCATCGGCAGTGAATGAGTTAAAGTGTGCAACCTAGCACACTACTTGGGGGCCCAAATGGGGTCATTCCTCTTCAGCCAGAGCCACTGGCTGCTTCTTTCTGCTGCCTCTGATGTAGCTTTGATGGCTCTGCGCTGTTTCTGGCCCATGATTCCTAGGTCCCTTAATAGTTTTGTGGTAGATGTTCCCACAAACCCTCTGCACCCGACCTCCACAGGAAATGACATCATGGCATCAAAAGGTGTTACTCTAATAAAGCAGCGCTGGCTTGGTGTGTTGTGAGCTTCTTAAACTGCAGACACAATGAAGGGCTAAATGCAGGCAGGGATATGTTGACCGCTTATTTTAAGTGAGAAATCTCCAGGCTGTTGCTCGTTCTCACAGACTGGAATTACCCGACGCAGCAGAGCCAGAACCAGCAGGTCAAAGGTGAAACTGTAACATTAATACGATACTGGACACGCTGGTCAGCTTCTTTAGACTAAATATAAAAAAACTAATGAAAATTAAATTGTGAATTTTTATTTAGCATTATGTGAGAAATGAAAACGACAGAAAAAACGATCATGATTGTTTTTTAAACTATCGTTCAAAATGAAAACAAACACGTCTATCTAATGTGTTTCAGTACCTGCTTGTAACTTATATTAATAACAACTTGTTTAATTAAGGATGATGCAGAAATAAAACCTGGCGCAGCGCCTGTTAGTGGAGTCATGTTTTTGAACGGTTACTTTTTACTTTACTTATGTTTATGTTTATTCATTTAGCTGACGCTTTTATCCAAAGCGACTTACAATTTATAACCTAAAGGGCGTGTTGTGATCTGTGGGGGAAACTGGAGTACCCGGAGGAAACCCACGCATGCATGGGGAGAACACGCAACTCCACGCAGAAAGGCCGCAGCAGAGTTTCGAACCTGCAACCTTCGTGCTGCGAGGCAACAGTGCTAACCACTGCGCCACCATGCAGCCCATACTTGATTATGAACATGCTGAAGTAGGGCTACGTGATAGATTTTCAGCAGTAATGAAACATCTGAGCTCCGTTTGTTTCCTTCGAGGTCGTAGGGCTCCACGATGTCGACTTTAGACAATTTCTGAAAACACCAATCTCCAGCCTCCTTCAGAAGTTTATCCCTGTAAGGGACGTGTTCGTCCTTGTTCTTTTTAACCATCCTTTTGACTCTTGTGCTGCTTCAGCTGCAGCTTCCCCTAGCAACACGAGTCATAGGGTTAGGGTCCAGACAAAGATACGTCTTTAGATGATGAGAGTGGTTTGACTAAAGTGTTTACTGTGCCTACGGTTATAATTTTATCATGTTGTAAAACATATTTTGACTCAGAAGAATGTAATGTCCCTCCTGCAATAAGTATAATGTCACATGAGTGCTTGAACTTAAAGTGCTATTCATCTAATCTGTTCAAAATCCCTGCCTTATTATTGCAAACATAACTATGTGGTTTTTTCCAAAACTGTGCTGCCCTTAAGTTTACTTAGAAGTCTGGTTACGTGTGCATTTCTTCATCTGCCTTCCCAAATTTACATTTCCAAACCTAAACTTAGAAATTCAGATCTGAATAAAAGCTCAACCATGATATAAACATCTAAATCACTGAAAAGGTTTGTTTTTGTTTGTAAATGATACTCTAAACATGATAAAGTGTTTAAACAACTTTTAGAAATAATTGATTAGACAAAAATCCTTCTGTCCAACTCAAATTATGGAAAATAAAAACCACCACACATGCATAATGTGTCATCAGCAGAACTTAAACAGAGCATCGTACATCCTAAATCCTCCAGAACGGCAGCTGGTATTTCAGCTTTGACCGTAAAAGGCTGGTTTAACGGCAGAACTCTGAAAAAACCAACAAAACGTAAAGAATCTGTAGACCTTCATCATAATAAAGAAGAGTGAAGCAGCAGCTACAGCTGAAACTTCAGTAAAGCAGAATCCATCCCAACAGGGACAACAACTCTCGATACTCACCACACGTACATGAGCACCATCGTCCGCAGGCGGAGGACTGGGTGGACCACCAGTTGCAGGACGCCGGCCCGCCTGTTGCCACGGTTACCGGGTTTTGCAGACCCAACACGCTGCAGAATCAGTTTGTTGGCATTGTTTCCGTTTCTCAAAGCCATGTGTTGCAGAACCTAAAGTTTAGAAAAAACAGCAGTTAAAGGCTGACGGAAACTGCATTTTATAAGATCAGTGCAATCTGCATAAAATGTACGTCATGGCTTTAAGTTAATGACGTGTTGGTCACAAACGAAACGGCTCTAAGGGCCGACAGGAGCCGGCTCCCTCTGGGAGAAGCCAGTGTGCCACGTAGTGACTCCCACACTGTAAGTCAAAGTCAGTTTTATTGTCAATGCTGCCACATGTACAGGACATACAGAGAAATGAAACCCGCTAAAATCAGCAACATGTGTGTGCATGGCGGGCACACACACACACAGCTGGCCTCTGATGGCCGTGAGACCGGGAAGGGGGAGGAGTGATTACCTCCATTTGCTGTGAAAGCAGGGAGAAGGGTAACCCATGGGACAACCATTACATTAACTGATGGGACCTTTAAAAAAATGTAAATATTGGTGGAGACAAATCAGTAAAAGAGGAGAAAAGAAAAACAAATGGTGCTACAGAAAGGTGAGGAGATGAGTGAGAACAGGACAGGCACCAAGGTGATCCAGATGTACCGACACCGGCAGCTGGAAAAAACACAAAGGAGGGGGCGCTTCGGCTCCACGCTAACGCCACAAAGCATCATGGGAGTTGTAGTCTTTGCGGTAAAATCAGCCAGTGGGTCAGTTTTAATATATTTTTGATAATTATCTCGCGGGCCACATAAAAGTGCTCCGTGGGCCGCATCTGGCCCGCGGGCCTTGTGTCTGACACGTGATCTAGGCAGACTGAAATCTTCATATTAGCAGGACAAAGAAGTACAAAACTTTACATTTTAATTTATTTAAACAATTTATTTTACTTTCTACATCTGTTGAGCTTTTTCCTCCACCATTTTCAAAGAAACGGGGTAATAGATTTCCACCTTTAGAGCAACAGCACCACCCAAACACAAACATTTTTGTCTCATTTTTATAACATCAGGAGAAATAATGGGCCAATCAGTGAGACATTCACACGTTTCACACCTGAGGTTTGGCTCCTGGGGTCAAATCAGGTTCCAAAAGGACTTTCCCCATTACGTCACAGTGGTAGCAGCCTTCAGTAAACCAGTAACTACTAAAGCTACAGTTCCACATCCACCCTGCTCTGTTGTACTGACATCAGTAGCTTCTTTCATCTTTAGGATTTAGAGATCTAACCATTTATCTGTGTCTAAAGAGAAAGTAGAGATCCATCTCATGCCAGCTGACAGCTTTAAGGGGTTTTGGTGCCTCTCCTGTACGCTAACTAGAATTGGTGACAAATTCCTGTATGTATTTACCTCTTCAGCTCGCTCCGTTTGGCCCTGAGAATAAAGCCAACGAGGTGATTCTGGAAGAGTTCTGCAGGAAACAAAGACAGAAGTGTGACTGTGAAAGCAGAGCGCACTCCTGTTGAAAGGCTGGTGATTTTTGTTTGAGTGGACTTATGACAGCTCCCTGTGTGACTCCATATCCCAATGTAGGGACAAAAGTTAACCGATACCAATGCAGTTGCTTGAAAGTGGCTTCACTGTAACTTGTCAATTGTGTGCACCTAATATTTTAGCCATGTGATAGGTTTTAATCATATATTTTACTTTTTATTTTCCTCACAGTCTTTTTCTGTTAAAAGCAGAGAAAATATGAAAATAAAACCTGCATTCCAATTCATAGCATTTTTTGTGTGGTAGAAGTATCAGTATCGGTAATCGGTATCGGCGAGTACTCAGATCCAAGTATCATTATAGTATCGGTTTGGAAAAAAGTAGTATAGCTTTTTCTCCTCCAGCTGCTTTCCTAGAGGAGAGCTGGAGGAGAGGAGCTGCTCCCACCTATTTTCATTCATTGCTTTGATCTGGCTGTGTGGACTCACACAGACAGCAGGAAGATCAGAACACCTGAAGAGTTGGCTGCTGCAGCCAGAGTCCTCCATGGCTGAATGAAGTATCCCAGAGGTCCGAACAGCGTGATGCCGACAGCAAAAATCATACTAGTCAGCGTTCCTGAGGAGAGGACAAAGAACACAGCTGAACAGTTTAGCTCCTGTTTCTATAGAAGAGTATTGCTGTTAAAGCAAGGAAACAAATTGAGTGGAATCTTGTTACAACAAGATCAAACATACATATACTTATATATATGTACATATATACATACATACATATATATACATATATGTATGTATATATATATATATATATATGTATGTATATATATATATATATATATATATATATGTATGTATATATATATATATGTATGTATATATATATATATGTATGTATATATATATATATATATATATATATATATATATATATATATATATATATATATATATATATATATATATATATACCGTAAATCCTCTAATACAGGCCCGGGCCTTTATTTGACTCAAGCTCATCAAGCTCCAGGCCTTTATTGGAAGGAGGGCCAGTATTAGAGGCAGGCCTCTATTTCTAATTGAGCAAAATGAACTAATGTTTCGCTGGAGTTTTTGACAATTAAAATTGCGCCCACATTTTCAAAGTTAAACACATTTCTTTTAACAACGGTAGTTCCTGCTTCAGCCATCTCCCCCCTCCCCCTGCTTCAGCCCTCTCCCCCCCTCCCCCTGCGCAGCCCCCCCAAACTCACTGATGCGCCTGCAGCCTCTCGGAGTTCCTGCTGCTTTAAACATTAAAATAATTATTTCATTTTCTGTTCCTCACTTCTGATTACCTTCAATGGTGTCTGTTTGTTGCAACAGCAGGTACAAAAACTAACTTGTTTTTATTTGACTATTTTTCTGTCCTGTCTGTTTATTATCTTCCTGCATCTCCTCTCAATCCTAAAGAGAAACTGCTACCTGGGTTCATATATATTCACCTCATGAGTTACCTTTGAACTGCAGTTCTAAAAGATCTACCGACCGCAAAAACAGCGGAGCGCTCGCTGTTTGGCGGCCGTATCAGTGATCAGTGCGTCGGAGGACAAGGTGATGCGCGCAGCGCCCCGCTCCACAGCAGCGAAACGCATCAGGAGCTTGTCACCTGCTGATAACAGGCTGCTGTATTTTCCGAGGGCTGCATCTTGCCGGTCATTATCACGTGACAGCGACTAGTCGATGACAGGCATAAAAAATCACAGTAATCCCTCGTTTATCGCGGTAGATGCGTTCCAGACCTGGCCGCGATAGGTGAAAATCCGCGAAGTAGGGACTCCCAGCATGCCCCTCGCGGGGATTCCCTGCACGTCACAAACCGCGGCTATAAACGGATGTCGCCTTTCCAGCTCACCACTCAGTCATCGTTTCTTCAGATTCATGATCAGAGTTTCCAACCTACCGATCAATCCAACGAACTATCAGCTCATAGTAAGTTATCTTACTTACTTCTGGAAAGCCCGGCATTTCCGTGTCACTTCGTTGACGCTCGAACGCTCGGGGGTTTCCTAGATTAAACCGTGAGCCGGCGTTTCACCGACGCTCTCACTTCCGCGTCTGTGAAACCACGCTCCCTATTGAATTATCGTATGATCACATTCTCTATTTGTGGGTAAAACTCAAGAAAAAAAATTTTTTTTCTTGTTTTTTTTTTTAGTTTTATTACAAAAAGTGCATTTTATGATGAAATTGATGAAAAAAACAAGAATTTCTTGATATTTCGCATAGAAAAATACCGCGAATCAGTGAAAAATACCGCGAATCTGCGAATTCCCCCTGAAAAATGCTCCAAAGAAAAAATCCGTGAAGCAGCGAATCCGCGATGAACGAACCGCGAAGTAGCGAGGGATTACTGTATAGTGAAGTTGACTAGTTCATACACCCCCTACTGCTGCTCTCCAGAGTGTTCTGCAGCATAATCAGCACGTTCTCTTTGAACTTTTTTTTTTTTTTTTTTTTTTTTTTTTTTTTTATTGTACAGATTCACAAATACAGCGCATATCTTACAACTCAACAAGGTATGAATAAGTACAGTTGGTTAAGAACAAAGCAGCCATCCAAACAAAGAACAACAGCAACAAAAAAACAAAAAACATTATAGGTCAGAGATAACAAAACAGCATACCCGTGCATTAAATGACCTTCCATATAAAGTAAAGAAAACAAAGAAAACTAAACAAAAAACATAAGTACGCACATACATTCTAGCTACATCAGTTGAAAAGCAACATCAAAAAATCAAGTAAGATCTTAGCCTTCTTTAATTTACACTTATCTAATGAAGCCTTCAACAGAAGGACTTCATTTTTAAAACCAGCAAAATTCGGAGTAATTTTTAAGAAGCGACATTTATGAATAAAAAATTTTGCAACTATACATAAGTTGTTAATCCCAAATTCTAATTTCTTATTTTCTGTTTGTAGGCCAAATCTTATTACTTGAAAGGTTAGAGAAGGGCAATCAATACTTTTAGAGGTTAACCAGTACTGAAAATCATTCCAAAAAGATCTGGAACTGTCACATGAATAAAAAAGGTGCTCTGTAGTCTCAATATCAGTTTTGCAAAAAGTGCATGTGTTCGTATCTATATTGAATTTCTTATGAAGATAGTCCTTGGACGGGTAAATGGCATTTAAAATTTTAAAGTGATTTTCTTTTGCTTTTGGTGGAATTGGAAAAGAGAGATATTTAGTCAAGAACCTAAAATTATAATCTTTAAACAAATATTTTCTTTTTAATTGAGAAGGAAAAAGTTGTTTGGTTAGAATCGTCCTTAAGAATTTATTATTGCATGACTTTCCATTAAATTGACAATCATCAATAACTAAGGATGGTTCACGAATTATAGAGGAAGAATAGGTTAAACTGGCTTTAGCCATCTGAATCATTGCAGGGGGAATGGCTTTCACAACTTTAATGAATTTACTTTGAGTACATGATACGCCATAATTATCTATGAATTTATTGTACGATAATACATTGCCATCATTGTCTAACAAGTGTAAAACTGTCCAAATTCCATGATCCATCCAATCCTTATAAAAAATGGATTTTCGGTTTATCAATATACATCTGTTGTTCCAAATTGAATTTGTATGTGGAGAAAAATTATGCTTGTAAATCATTTTCCAGTACTGAAGAACCTGTTTATGAAAATTAGATAATTTAATAGGTATTTTGGAAATTTCAAAATCACATTTTATGAGAAATTCAATGCCACCAATCTTCTCGAAAATTATTTTAGGGAAATAAAACCAAATACTGTTTGAGTTATTTATGAAAGACTGCAACCATTTGAGTTTGATGGAACCATCCATTGCTTCAAAATCAATCGCATTCAAACCTCCTTCTTCAAACGATTTCACTACATCATTCTTCCTAATATAATGTTGTTTGTTTCTCCAAATGTAATTAAAGTTAATTTGATTTATATTAGAGATTAGTCTATTGGAAACATATAAGCACTGTGATGGATAAATCAGTCGAGAAATACCTTCTGTTTTGGTAAGTAAGACGCGTCCAAAGATGGAGAGGTCTCTTTGTAACCAGCTGAATAGGATCTTTTCAGATTTCTGGGTAATATGCTCAAAATTTAGATTTTCTCTATTGTTTGTATTCTTTGATATTATAATGCCCAAATATTTAATTTCAGTTTTAATAGCTATGTTAAGAGAGATACTGGGTTCACAGTCATGAATATTTAATAATTCACATTTTCTGATATTCAGGTACAAACCAGAGGCCTTTGAAAATAGTGAAATTTCATTTAGTGCAAGAGGAACCTGTGTCATGTTCTTTAAAAATAGTGTCGTATCATCTGCTAATTGACTTATGATTAATGGGGCTCCCATCAAGTTCAGTGGTTGAATATTTGGATTGTGTTTCATGAAAATAGCTAAAAGTTCTGTTACAATAATGAAAAGTAACGGAGAAGCTGGACACCCCTGGCGGATTCCTCGACTGACGTTAAATCGTTTAGACGTTCCAAAAGTTAGAGAAATAGAACTATTGATATCGGAGTATAACAAAGAAATTAAATCTATGAATTTTTTACCAAAACCAAAATACTGTAAAGCTTTCAAAATAAAAGGATGTTCGACCGTATCAAATGCTTTATAAAAGTCTAAAAAAAGAATCACACCATCATCTTCAATTAAGTGATTATAATCCAGTAGATCTAAAACTAGTCTAATATTATTATGGATAGAACGATTCTTAAGGAACCCAGATTGTGTTTCACTAATAATCTGATCTAAACCGTCCTTTAATCTGTTTGCAATAACATGAGCCAGAATTTTATAATCTGTATTCAATAGAGTAATTGGTCGTAGATTATCGATTAATCTTTTATCTTTACCAGGTTTGGGGATAAGGGAAATAAGACCCTGTTTCATTGTCGTTGCTAATGTTTCATTACTAATGATTTCTCTAATAGTTTTGAAGAAAAATTCTTTCATTTCTTTCCAGAAGAATTTATAAAAGATGGCAGTCAAGCCATCCTGACCAGGAGCTTTGTCCATTTTCAGTTTGTTTAAGGCTTGATCTAAATCATCTAGTGATATGTCAGAATCACAAATTTCTCTGAATACAGAATCGATTTTTGGAATATAAGGTTCAATCTGATCAAAAAATGTAATTGAATCAGTAATTAAGTATTTAGATGAGTATAAATTTGAATAAAACTTATGTATTTCTTCTGCTATAGTCTTGTGATTTGTGCATTCTTCCCCATTTATAAGTAATGTATTAATACATTTCTTCTCTTGCCTCCGTTTCTCCAGATTGTAGAAATATGAAGTACTTTTTTCACCTTCTTCTATCCATTTTGCACGAGCTCTAATGTATGCTCCATGAGCCTTTTTCTTGTATAAATCATCTAATTGAGCTTGTAAAGACAAAAAGGATTTCTTATCAGCCTCTGACATAAACTGTCTATTACAATAGTTATTTAAATTGTAAAGTAGTTGACTTTCAAACTCCTTTTGTTGTCTACTTTTCATTTTACTAAACGTAATTGAAAATTCTCTAACTTTAAATTTAAAAAATTCCCATCTGTGTGTGTAAGTACCAATTGTTCCA